TTCCCAAAACTTATATTACTGTCAGATGCAAAAATCGGATTGGACAAATTTGGACATTTTTACTTACACTTATTTTAATTTTTTCGACATAGTAAGTTTATCTACAATCTATGATATTTCCATATAAATAATTATATTTTAGCTCATTTGTGGCACAGTGCAGCGGCGGGCCGTAGTTTAGTGACCCCTGGTCTAGTGTAATGTAGTTTGAGATTGACAAATATTGGTCGGGCATCAGGTGATCGCACTTTATGAACTATCAAGCTAGATTTTGGTTAACTTTGACCCACATGTAGGGAAATGTTGAAAGAAAAAATAAGATTTTGTATCCTATAGAACTCAAGTTAAAGGTTACATGATGGTTTTTCGTGTTGGAATAATATCCGTACTAATACGCCACAGCACAAAACATAATCATGACTTTAACATCGAATTAATTCCGTGTTTTATAAATCATACAGGACCATTGTAACTATAAATATCTCGGCTACAGACAAAGGCATTCAAACCAAACTTAGAAAAGGTTTTTTTTCTGGTGATAAATGCACATGTCTAACTTGTTTTCAGAACTTGAACAACTAAAGTACCTATTGTAAACACTGTGAAATTGTAACGTACTAGTAAAATGAAACTTTTCTAGTGATATGCAGCATAATATAAACAGTATAACTTTGCTGTCTCATTTATAAGCGCACGCTTTTGCTTTTCGCTAACACTGTTCATCTTTGTGCAAATAAAAAATATTATAATCCACTTGCATGTGTTGTTTCTGCCCCTCTCTCTCTCTCTCGTTATTGGTAGGTAGTAAACTATATGTCGCTTTGTTCTGTTAGACTGAAGCAAAAGAGAAGTAGGCGCAGATGGTTTTAATACTGGCGGTACCCTCATAAGAAGTGAGGTGAGCTTGTATCAGTGTGTCTGAACCTCTGCTTGACTTGGCTGTGGACTCTTAAATCTCCGAGCTATTATATCGCCGCATTGTAATGGGTTGATCGCGGGCGGCCTCTCCCTCCTGCCGGCCAAGCGAGTATGACAGTCAGCCTAGCAGGAAGAGGGGGTAGGGCTTAGCACAACACCGTAGATTCGATGTCACGTTCGTACTGTAGGGCTTCTCGTCTTTCTTGATTTGTTTGACACGACTCTAGGGAGCTCAGATTCCTTTGTGAGAGCTCGTGTGACTGCAGAGAGCATGGTCAATGCACGCGCCATGAAATATGCGTATGTTCCAATCTACTGGAAGCTTGAAGCCTTGCATGTGAAAATAATAAACATATTAGTACAAATACTGCAGGGCGTTCTACAACTCGGTACAAGTGGGGTTTAGTTAGATTTTCTCTGCTTACTGTCCAAACTCATTCTTTATTATATTGTATTGGCAAATTTATTGAACACAATATCTAGTTTATTTTTATTAGCATTTTAAAATGCTTCGAAAATTCAAGAAGAAATTCAAATGAGAATTGTTTTTGAAAAAAAAGTGTAACTAAGGTTTAAAGTACACTCTAAGTTTTGTTTTTTTCTAATTTTATTGGATGTGTATATCAAAGAAATTGTATAGTTTCCTTATTTACATTTTAATGAATCATTAATTTGTATGAATGTTTTGACTATTATAGTATTGTATACTAATAAAATTGGGCTTATATATATATATATATATATATATTAGTAAATAGAA